TCTACAATATTGGTCGACAGAATTACAAGAATTGGAGAGGATGTGGGTTATATTTTTAACCGACTTCAAAAAAGGAGGAGGTTCTCAATTCGACTGTATGTTTTTTTTTGTATGTATGTATACGCGATAACTCTGGTATTTGTGAACCGATTTTCATGATTCTTTTTTTGTTGGAAAAAGGGTACTTCCATAGTGGCCCCATTTCATTTTGAAGAAAATCATCCACCTCGAAGGGTGGCGGTTCACGCATCAAGATTCATTTTATTAAATAGCTCCTAACTTTAATTTAGGAGCAATTACTTTAATGGTTGATTTTGCTATTACTCCAATTCAAGGCGTTTTTCTCTCAATATACTTCGAGTAGTGAGAACCGATTTTTATTATCTCCAGTGTCAAGTCCTGTATAGTGGCGAACTAGGTGTTATTTCAATAAAACTTAGCAAATAGACGTAATTCCACGTACTTTTGAGGTCGGTTTTTTTAGTACTCTGTACTGACATTATCCTATCAGCAGCTTGATTTTGATTGCCTCTCCCGATCGGAAATTGCGTCTTTTCCGAGTCGAGGCGTATAATATTGCGGATGGGCTACCCGTTCGCATCGATTTCGATTTGAATTAAAATCAGGGCGGTCAGGCAGAGACTACAGCGTTCCATTTGCTCCTATCCTGACACACATCTTTCGCCTCGCCAACACGCATCAGTGCTTTCATACGTGCTCATGGGTGAAGTGCTCTTGAGCTGGCCTTTCTTTCTAACGTTCTCAATTCGAGTGTTTTTTTCGTATGTATGTTACTCGATAATTCGCCGATTTATGAACCGATTTTGATTATTTTTATTACTATTAGAGATAATAAAGTGACGTAATGTGGGTAGCGAATTTTTGGTGAAATAAAAATAGTGTTGACTTAAAGCAGCGAAACCTTTCGGCAGACAAGGGCCATATAGTGCTCACTTTACTGCTTGGCGGCAGAAATGGGTAAGGTGACAGTACTTCCTTGTCGAACTTTCGCAAAATAGGCGCTTTGTCGTCGAGTTGCGGATACCAGCCCGTTGCACCAAGTACCAAGTACCAAGTTCACAAGGAGTTCTACTGCTACTAACAGTAAAAGAGATATTGTTAAGCAAATTAATACTCAAAATCTTTAACGTTTCTTTTTGAATGTTGGTTTCTTTTTAGGTGTCGGTGAGTTCATTGGGAACTGAATAAATAACGTTACAATACTATAAACATAGCAACACTATATTTCAAAGACACATTAAGTAGCAGCCGTTAAGATGTTACGAAATGGCCATCGTCAACATAATTTAACGATTTCTCGCGAAAAAAGCCAGATAATTAAACTATTGAAGAAAAATTACACTGGCCAATCAGACGCCTTAGCCTGTCCTTAAGGACGAGAAATTTTACTACTATTAATTAGCGGCTGTCAGTTTGCTATATCTAATCTGCAGAGCTTACAATATTAATGTATATAGATACATTATTATGAAATACCTATGCATTATATAGGTATTTCAAATATAACAGTAATAATGTTTGAAATACCTACAGGCTTACTGTTCTTATCGTAACCACGGCAGTAATTATAAAAGCAACAATAATAATATACCAGCACTTAGTTCACTTTAATAACACACATTTACTTATTTTGATAACCTAATGACACTAGCGTGCAAAATTCAAAATTTATATGATAAATTTAAGTGAGGGCTCCCGACACTGTACTTATATCAGAAAGGCGATTATAACACTGCCCTGCACCAGGCAGCGAAGTGCGCGAGACGACCGGATCATGCATTGCACATTGAGATAGTTCGGTAATAAGTGTAATAATCGCCTAAGTAGACGATAGTAATGTAACGCCGAACTGTAAGGGCGGCATGTCAAAGTGTGAAAACGTTTTAACATATAAAACACATACAAAAAAAATACACTTTATATTGAGTAATAAGCCTCATCATTTATTCAACAATAACTTAAAATATACAGGTAAGGTACTATAAATTATATGAATAAAATTGGGTCCCCGCAGCAAGGAGCCCAAGATGCTGGCAGCGTTCCCCTTTGCATAGCTATGCTAATACGAAAATAATATTTTTTATTAGACATCCTTACTGTTGAATTGTATATATTATAATAATAATAACAACGTGCAAGACAATTACACACATTGCCTGGTCTATACAGTAGGATATTCACTTCGGGGCTACACAGTTTACTCAGAAAACCCAAACCAGAATCAATTCCGAAAAGTTATTTATGCAGTAGAGCACTCACCCTCAAAACATTATTGTTTTTTCTTCCGTGCTCTCACTTATGGTATGTTTATTACCATATTGCTTGTTACAATTCTTTGTTTTTGGTTTTTAACGGCTTTTTTGCTGTAGCGCCACAGGACGGTGTTTTTTCTGTGTTCGATCTTACTGTTAATAATTGTAACAAACTAGTGGAGTAATTTCACAAAAATAGTTGAATGTCGTGGTGGTCAAATATCGTGACATTTAATGAACTTAAAAATTACTTTCATTCAGTTTCATTTCAGCTAAAGAAGCCAACACAAACAACTACACCTTGACAGAAGTATGTATGGGGTGTCTCTGTCAGGCCGTCTCCGGCTGCAAGCAAGGCGAAACGTGTGACGGACATGCTTGTGGATTATTCCACATTACCCAGCCGTATTGGAATAGTGCTGGAAAAGTGACGCTGATTGGTCAAGCTCCAGATCAACCTGATGGTAAGAACTTTCATTTGGTTGGTATTTTTAATTGATCCTTATTTGCCCTTCACCAAGCAACGAGACGAACAAGTTGTGCGCCTGGTGGTGAGCGACACGCCTACCCATAACAGTTGCAGTACCACTCAGAGCTTTAAATCGCAAAGATCTGAGGAGCCAGTGCCCCGCAGATCTTTATTTAGGCGCAGTGGCAGTCCACTGCGCCTGTCACTCTGAGACGTAAGTTCGCAAGTCCTATGTGCCTGTAATTTCATCTAGGTTTTAAAACTAATGTGCCACTGAAATTCCGATAGTACCACTGAAATGATGATAAACACTTTCAATAACTAAATATTGCGTAATTTAGAATTCATATGATGTTCATGTCCTTATAATAATAACGCATAGAAACCTAGCCCGCACACGCTAAGTGAGGCAAATTGAAGCGCTCCCAATGGGCCTACACGAGCGGGCGGGCCGTCATTGCTCAAGATCAACTTGCACCGCGAACAGCTCAAGAATTTTAGCTAAAAATAACGAAATGTGCGATAAATTAGTGTAAAAATACGTCAGGCAAACATAAAATAGACACTAACATCACATTCCACAAGGAAGTAACGCGTTTCCAAGCAATTCCATGGCATCATTATTTGTATATTTGTGTGCGTGCCGACGAGCGTAGATACAAGTTGCTCACGCCTACGTGAATTTGATTTTTGCCTCACTTGTGACAGTTCGTTTGATATGAAACTATCATTCTATGCGTTATTATTCTATGTTCATGTCATCGCACTTGTAAAGTTAGTAACACATCATTCTTTGGTAAAATCAGTTCAATTATTTTTAATTCTACTACATAACTTTTAACAGTTTTAACTCTTTGTCTGTGACCGTGATTTTTAGCACCCTATTATCATTTTACTATGTCTATTTTACGAATTTTTAAATTTAATAATAATGAGTTATTTATTTAGATGTAGCATATTCGAATTGCGTGATGGATCCTGTATGCGCCGCGGTCACTGTCCGAAGCTACATGCGGAAATTCGGACAGGTGAGAAATCTACTTGCTTTAATGAACTTTTTTTTATAAAATGAAGTGCAAATTTGACCCCATCTCACCTGATGGAAAGTGACGATGAGGTCGACAATGGAGCTAGCACATCTAAATAACGTCTATTCACTCTCGCCTTCAAAAGGCCCAAGTTATAACGTACAGGGAATAGGTAGGCAGGGAATTTCACTCCACAGCCGTTTACATATAAATGTGGAAGCGTAACGCTTCGTGCGAATCCTTAGAATACACAACATAGGGGTGCAACCCACGTTTATTCCCAGTAGTTCCACGTATTCAGATCCACGTGGAGTAATTGTAGCCCAAAAGTTCCATACATTGAACTAAGGGGAATAAATTTAATGTTTTTATTTTTATTCCCATGCAACACAAGCCTACGTCTATTCCCCTGGTGTTGGAAGGAGGAAGACGGAACTAAATCGTGCAATTCCATCACACACTCTCCGTGCTTATATCATGTAGAATAGAATAATTATTGAAAAAAAAAAACTTACACTTGCTAAAGTACTAACATTACTGTTTTTATTATCATTTTCTTTCTTAAGGATTGCAATGGAGATGGCCAGGTTAGCTGTTACGACTACATCGCGATCCACAAATTAGGGCCCTACGGTTGCACTGGGCCTCTTCCATACGAATACTTAAAAGCCTATAACCTATGCATTGCCGCCGTGACAGCGTTGGAGCCACAGCGACAGCCATCCTTTACTTGATGGTTAAAACTAAATCTATAAAGCCATTATGAATGTGGCTCTTACAAAGTTCATTATGCTATGGTTTCAAAAATGTTAATATATTCTACATAATGTCAATGCAGAGTAAACACATAAAAATAAGATAATAAATTAATTATTAATACAAAGATCGAACACTAAGAAAAATATCCCTCCCAGTGTCTACCAGCAAACCGTACTAAACGCTATGTCAACCAAGCTGCGGAACCAACCAACAACGGACCTTTGGAATATTTTAAAATTCGTAAATTTTTCTATGTGTTTGTTGCCGATCTTTGTCTTGGTTTTTAACGACTTTTTTGCCGTAGCGCCATATGTGAGAAACTTATTGTTACTGACTATTTTATTACAAGACGTAATACTGAATAAAGCAACTATTCCCAATAGTTCCATGGCAACTCTGTAAAGCATGCATTTAAATATCATTTTTTTCATAATATTTCTTTTATTAACACTTTTTTGTTTTTAAATAAATACGCTTATAAAACAGAATAAAACGAAATTTTATTTTCTTCCCAAAATCCCAAGTTTCGTAAAAAAAATTCGCCGCAGTAATTGTGGAAATTATCTTCAATGAATTGTGGCATTTTTGCCAGTTCACATGCAAATAAAGCTTTGTCGCAATATCATGTAACACGATAACTAATATAATATGTTTCTTTTAACATTTGTTAACTGTCACCAATATTATATAAAAAACGATAATGGGACGAACGCTCCATATGTGTGTGTGTATGAACGCGATTGCTGCCCACTTTGACGTCATTTTTTCTTCTCGTTTGTGGTTTTCCTCTGGATGTTTTCAAAGTTTCAACACAATCATCCACTTTTAACGGCTGAACTCAAAGAAATAACGCTAAGTATATGCTTAATTCACTGCTGTTCAATAATAGTAGCCCAATTCAAAAAAGTACCTTTTTTACTTATTTCGGAGATTCGTTCAGAAAGTTCTGAATTTTACTGTGAAAGGGAGGCCCAGCTATTCACTAGTTAAAATAATCACATGACAACGTTGAGACTGTCCACGATATGTCAGTTTTGCGCAGCAGACACACCTCTTTAAAATCCTTTTCCTGGCGAATTAGATGCTTTTGAGATAGACCACTATTCCAGAAAATGAAAATTGAAGACTAGACATGTACTTTCGAAACAGTCTGTACTTTCTAAAATTTCTGCTTATTGAAAGTTCTGTGTTCCGCATGTACAGCCTAAGTAGACAGTATAGATTAGGGCCCAGCGACCACTGACGGGATAGCTGCGCAGGGGATCCTTCGGCATCCCTACACGTAAGCGTAAACTGACGGCAATTTTATTATTTTTAATTTTATTATTTTCTTGCGTTAGTGAACATTTTAGTGACGCGACGTAGCACTAAAATCATTCGAAAGGCACTCATGATTGCCAAAGACCGCTAAACTTGTCGTTTTGTTTCGTTTGTTATATCTAAAAAAAATCTGGATAAAAATAATGCCGAAACTTCAGAATTTTAGTTCGCGATTTTGTTGTAGAACGTAAACGATTGATAAATAAATAAATTAAAATTAAAAAGTTGTTATTTTGCAGATGTAGCCTTATTACACCAAAAGTACAAATTCCTGACAAAAGCCAGTGATTTCTTAGAAAATTTTCCCTGTTATTATTATTTAAAGCTAATAAAATGACAACAAGAGGAAGTTACCGCACAATATTTCCTTAAATTATATTACATTGTCGCATAGTGTCTTGGCAAAACATAAATATAAGTAATGCTCTCATTGTAAAATAATTAAATTACTCGAGTTATCTTCTGTTCTGTTCTGTTCTGTTTGTATACCTATTTTTTCCTCTATCCAAATCGCATTTGAGAAATAATGATAAAACAACCATAATATACAGCTTTAGGAAATTCTCTACGTATGGAACTAACTGCAATAAAGATAAAAACATTAAATTTATTCCCACTGGGTCCATGCATGCAACTTTTGGGTTTCAATTGTTCCATGTGGAACTGAGTACCTACATGGAACTACTGGGAATAAACCATATTTACTGCACATTATAACACAAATCACATTTTTTTATGACACAAGAAGACAGGACGAATGAGTCTTGCGCCTAGTGGTAGGTAAGCGACGACGCGCCTGTCCGTAACAGATGCAGTGCCACTCAAAGCTTTAAATTGAAAAGATCTGAAGGGCCCTGCAACTGTGCCCGTCCCCCAGAGACATAAGGTTACAAGTCCCATGTGCCTGTTATTTCACCGACACTCTTACCCTTCAGAACCAGAACGCAGTAATGCTCACATTACTGCTTGGCAGCAGAAATAGATAAGGTCCCTGGACTGACTCTTTTGCTACGATCTCCACTGCTACTAATGCGACTCATTATAAGTGGGTCAACTTAATGGTTAGTCGGTTATAGGTCAAATTTGTTTGATTAACCACTTTGTATTGAGCTAGAACAGCGAATTATGAACCGGGAAAACTAGTGTAAGTTGTAGTAATACCATGTTTAATGCCAGTCGCATCTCAGGCATTACACGTTATTGACGCACCTTTTTAATCTAAAATAAATAGTAAAATATTTATTTTCTTAATAAATTTTTACTAGTGCAATGGCGTCTATCGTAATGAAGTTCAGTTTAATATTGATGGTCATCGGCGCGTGCACAGGTGTTTATTACTATTTCTTTATTATCAGTTATACCTAAGTACCTACATAATGTAAATGCCTAATAGGAAAACGGTTGCTTTGAAATTGAAAGATCGAGGGTTCAAACTGGGTACCTCCATAGTGGTCCCATTTAATTTTGAAGACAATCATCCACTAAGGGTGGTTGTTTACGCATGAAGATTCATTTTTATAAATAGCGCCAAACTTTTATTATAAGGAGCAATTATTTTATGGTTTTAATGCCTGTTCTCCAATTCAAGGCGTTTTTCTCTCTAAATATACTTTGCGTAGTGAGTACCAATTTTTATTATCTCCTGTGTCAAGTCCCGTATAGTAAACTAACTGGTGAACTAGGGGATGAATCCGGGTTTGCGCAATTTCCGGTAATCGATTTCAATAAAACTTGGTAATTAATTATATGTAATTCCATGTACTTTTGAGGTCGGTTTTTTTAGTACTCTGTACTGAGGTTTTTTCAGTTTCACTCGTATCGGGCTTCCTGAAAACCATAGGTCGAATTTTCGGCGCCTAGCTAAAAACTGAACTAGTCCTGTTTGCGTGCATCGCGACACGCATTTATTTTTATTATTTTTACTTTTACGTGTTCATATTTTTGGTTGCATTATATTGTAGTTTTAAGTTTATAATATTGTAATGTAGTTTTTCATCACACTTGCACTTAAATAGTGTGATTACATGCAGGCTAACTTTACTAAAATCATTATCACTAATATCAGGTTTCTTACCACGGTATGACTTCTTTTTATTTTCCCTATATTAATTATTCAATAACCACGAAAGTCTTAAAATCTATATTTACTAAAATCTCCCAAATAAAACTCTCGGGCCTATTTTCTTCTCATCGCACGACCATGGCTGTAATGAGAAGAAAACAGGCCCAAAGAATGAACCCATATTTAATCAAAAATAATAATTTCTTACTGCTTTACGTACTTATGCTTGGTATATCATACAAAAAAAATCAATGCGTACAAAAAGACACCAATGTTGAGGTTCTTCGACAAATGGGAAAAAAGTTGGAAATACTCAGAACTGTAAGGGGAAGCTGCAGTATTTTGGCCATGACGGGGCAATAGATACCGAATTCTTCAACTAATAATGCAGGAAAAAACACAAGATAAGCATAATCGTGGCAGAAGGAAAACCACGTGGCTTCAACCACGATTTTTCAATATGAGAGACTAGTTCCACCTTAGCACAAGTTGTCTCTGTCTTGCGGCGGCTTCAAAAATGAGAATAGCGATTATGGTCACTAACCTTTGTAGAGAATCGGTAGGTACACTAAGAAGAAGAGTAATAATTTCTTCGTACTTCATCATCATCAACTCTCAGGCGAGGGTATAGGCCATAGTGTGCCATGCTGGCCTAATGCGGATTGGGGACTTTACAGGTTCGAGCCTGGGAACCGAGAATCGTAAGCCTTAAGCAAAGCAACGTTAAAAAGAAAACAGCGCAGTTGTACTTAAATGAATTTGATTAAGATTACGGGTACTTAGACTAATAAGTATATTACATATTCAAACTTAACAAAAACCTCACAGTTTTAATAACCACAAATTTTCGGCGCGCTAATAGAGAAAAGGCCTGCGCGTGTTATTTATAGAGATGGATGTGCGATGACGGAGAAAGGGTTTTGCTTATAATATAATATACCATATTTTGTAGCAGTAGAGCTCCTTGTGAAAGAGTTCGTCCTGGGAAGTACTGCCACCTTACCTCATTTAAGTAATTTAAAACGATATACATATAAGTAAATTAAAGTTGTATTATACAAGTACATACGTTTTGTTCCTTGCAGGAATGAGGAAAATGATTATTATACCGTATAAGTATTTTGCACGCCAGTGTCATTTGGTTAACGAAATAAGTACATAAGTGTTATTAAAGTGAATCGTAAGTACGAGTACCTCTCCAACTGAGACCATTAGGTTGAAATCAGGGCTCGCACGACTGCGGTTTTCGCAATTTATGCCAAATTTAATTTCAAATTTACCATGAGCTTTTCTTTTTTTTATTATATCAAGTGACGGGGCGAATGGTAAGCTGTGTAGCTTACCATTTCATAACAGTTGCAGTGCACTCAGAGCTTTAAATCGCAAAGATCTGAGGGGCACTGCCACTGCGCCCGTCACCCAGAGACATAAGTTAACAAGTTCCAAGGGCCTGTAATTTCACCAGCACCCTTATCCTTCTTAACAGAAACGCAGTAAAGCTCACATTAAGGCATGGTAAGGTGGCAGTACATCTCTGGACGAACTCTTTCACAAGGAGCTCTACTGCTACAAAAAAAAATACATTATCTAATTACCTTCATTTAGTTTCATTATTTTTTTTTTTCATTATTTATTTCAGCCCAGCTAATGACAACCAGCAACGTGACCGTAACGAAAGAGTGTCTGGCCTGTCTATGCCAGGCCATCTCTGGCTGCAAGCAAGGCGTAAGGTGTGAAGGAGTAGTCTGCGGCGTATACCGCATCACCAAGGGCTTTTGGGATGATGCTGACAGACCAACATTGCCTGGCCAAAGTCCAGAAGAGGATGATGGTGAGGTTTTTCCAACGTATCAAAGTATCTGGTTACAGCAGTTAAGGTGGTTTTCCATCGGTGAGCCGAGATGAGACGAAGAGAGACGAGAATCGAAATCTTATCGGCCTATTTGGGCCTATATATAACGGCCTATTTATTATGGGACTCGATCAGGATTAGTGTTGAATTAGGGCTTAAACAAATAAACAAATGGTTACGTAATAATGTACTCTCGTTGAATACTGTAAAGACCAATTTTCTGTGTTTTACTAACTATAAAAACACACAACCTAATAACGACTTCAGTATACAAATCCACAACTGTGACAAAGAACTTACAAATTATTACGTACCTTGTACATGCCCGCGCATACAAAGGGTTGAAGAAACAAAATATCTAGGTATCATCTTGGACCAGCGTCTCTCTTGGTACCCACATCTCGAGCGTGTAATAATGAGAATCAGGAAACTAACCTGGATCTTCAAAACACTGAGATATGTCGTACCGAATAGAGGCGCTGATATGGCAGTTAACGTGGTCTCTACTAGGGATCTTCTTAAACAGATCTATGTTTCTCTTGTGGAGTCTATTATTACATACTGCATTCCGGTCTGGGGTGGTGCAGCTAAGTCAAAATTTATTGAAATAGAACGAGCTCAACGTGGTTTGATCAAAATGATGTATTTTAAAAAAAGAATTTACTCCACAGAAAAATTGTATAAACTGACAAAGCTGACTTCTGTTAGAAAACTCTATATACTCTACACAGTAATAAAACAACATAAAAATTTACTATATAAACCTAGGGTTACAGGTAGAAGAACATATCATAAAATTGCATTAGTACCAAAAATAAAAACTACTGCGGCTAGTAGACAGTACAAATACAGGGCCTCATATCTGTATAACACTCTTAACAAAGAACTTGATATATACAACAAAATAGTTTATGACTGCAAATTAGCCATTACAAAATGGCTCGAAACTAAGTCGTATGAGGAGATTGAGCAATTACTACTAGTTTGAAATAAATAAATAAATATATAAATAAATAAGTAAACATAAAAGCGAGGTATTAGTTGATATAATATAATATATATAGTAATTAAATGAAATCAAAACTGAACAGAAATATGTGCGCTCACACACACACACACACACACACACACACACACACACACACACACACACACACACACACACACACACACAAACACAAACACTCATTCACACACACTTCATGCATATACATATACACGGACATGCACTCACACAAAGTAACACATACGTTAAATTAGTCTTAGTTTATTAAGGTTAATGAAAGAGCAATGTTTAATTATTAATTGTAAAGAAGAGCGATGTTTCCTAACACAGGCCTTATCAAGCTTAAAAGGAAACATCAGCCCCTGAATTATGCCATGTACAGTGAAGTAATAAAATATTTTTATCTTATTATTTTATTATTTACACCCAATTTACGATCAAGCGCGGGCTCGTGCTATGATTGTGGATAGTGAAGACTCAGTGCTGTTCAGTTCATCTGAAGTAACATGTCCCGTAAATTAGTATCATTAAGTATGTTAACGGAAAAGGAATCAGATGAAACCATCTGTTTTTAAATCTCAAATCGTACGTACCCCACAATCTCGCGATTTATATTAATAGCTCGCGCGAGACCGTGCGGGCACTCGCAAGTTCGTGCGAGAAATCGAGTTTCCGTTGCAGAGTATAATACTGTATGTAGGCAGCAATACGGTTCAATATTACGTCAACAAATATTTCAATTCTCGCCTCGCCTATCCTATTTCCACCAAAGGTCGGCTAGGAGAGAATTGAAGTTTTGTCATACAAATTTTCGTCTCGCCTCGCCGATGGAAAACCACCTTTAATGTTTGAAAGCGCTACACCTGACCTATGTCTGCCGTCAAACAGTAATGTGTGTTCCGGTTTCGAAGGTATAGGTGGCCACGGAACGAACAAGTCGTATGTCTAGTGGTAAGCGACACGCCTATCCACAACAGTTACAATGCCACTCAGACCTTTAAACCACAATCGCATCGCCGCCACTGCGCCGCTACCCTGAGACATAAAATTGACAAATTCCATATGCTTGTAATTTCGCCAGCACACTTACCCTTTAAAACCATAACGTAGTAATGCTCACATTAATCAGGCGGCAGAAATAGGTAAGGTGACAGTACTTCCCTGGACGGACTCTTTACGGACGAAAATTATATATTCATCTTTTTTTTATAATATCAACTGACAGGACGAACAAGTCGTGGGCCTGATGGTAAGCTACACGCCTGTCGATAAAAGTTGCAGTGCCACTCAGAGCTATAAATCGCAAAGATCTGAGGCGCACTGGCACTGTGTCCGTCACTTTGAGACATAGGTTGATAAGTCCCATGTGCCTGTAATTCCACCAGAACCCTTACTCTTCAAAATTGGAACACAGTAATGCTGCCATTAATACTTGGCGGCAGAAATACATAAGGTGGCAGTAGATACTTCCCAGGACGAACTCTAATAAGGAGCTCTACTGCTACTAAACAATATATTGTAACAATTGTGTTACAATAAGATATACCTATTCAACTTCTTTTGTGAAAACATTATAATATAAACATAACATTAATACGAGGAATAAAACCAAGATAGATGTAACATTATTATTTATTAACATTCCGGTTGATATTCAAAAGTTGCCATTCAAGACGTAGAACGTCTTGCTTAATGAAACAAAAACTTAACATTAAAAGGTTATTGTTATACAGCTTCTGTGTACTAGGACTACCAAAATCCATGGTAGTGACCGGTTTACACTTTCAGGTTGTCGCGATCTGATAAAAATGTGTTCCTTAATTCGTTGCAGCATATTCGAACTGCGCGATAGACCCATACTGCGCCGCGCAAGCTGTCGAAGGCTACATGCAGAGATACGCACAGGTGAGCACGCTTCAACTACTTCCTTGTTAGAAATAATTATAAATATTTTATAAAAAAACCGACGTCAAAGGTTTTATTGAAATCGTTTAATGAAAAGTGGGTGAAGACTTGAGAACTTTACATATTTCTACAGCTAAGCAGTAATGTTAGCATTACAGCGCATTCCGACTTTTGAAGGGTAAGGTTGCTGATGAAATTACAGGCACATGGGACTTATCGACCTACGTCTCAAGTTGGATGACGCGCGCAGTGACAGTGCCCCTCGGATCTTTGCGATTTAAAGCTCTGAGTGGCACTGCAACTGCTATGAACGTGTCGTTTCCGTCCGCTAAGGTCCCGTCACTTGTATTATAAAGTGTTAATTTTCAGGTTAGTTTTCCATACCAAGTTACTGTAGCAATTTTTATTATTTAAATATTCTGGAGTATTATCAATAAGCATTATTTAATGTTCTAAAATATTATCTTGAAGCATTATTTAATATCCGAGTGTAAGTAACCTGGAATATTATTTAATATTTCATAAAAATTCACACCTAAATTAGGTAGAAAAAAACCATAGATGTAGAAAAAAATGGGGGGAAAATTAACCTGAAAATTACCCAAAAATGTTACGTAGGTGATACTGTTCACAAACAATGACAACTATTAGGTATCAAGATTTCACTAAAAATAATAAAAATATCAGAATTTAATCATAAGTATCCCAAAGTCTCGTTTTAACTCACTAAATTCTCCATTAGTAAAAATTTTCGTTAATGACGTTGTATTCTTCTCTTTTCTCTCTTTTTTCAGGATTGCAATAACGATGGCGTGGTGAATTGTTACGACTACATCGCGATACACAAATTGGGACCCTTCGGATGCAGCGCGCCTCTCCAAAAGAGCTACTTAAAAGTCTTCAACAACTGCGAAGCTGCTGTGGCTGCAGCGAAACAGGGATTGGGTACAATTAAATAAATCGTATCCTTGGTATAACAAAGCCATAAATCATCATACGTCAGTAGTGATTATCATATGAATATAAACACAAACTACATGAAACAAATTATCTGTAAAATTTTATAACTCTACTAAATAACGCACACACTCAACATAGCCCCGCACTAGGGAAACCCTGTGTCGCGGGTGCCATGGACACACACATAGACAACCACAAATTACACCCAACCTCACGAGAGAAATAAATGTAGGCCATACTAATTTTTCTCCCGACCCGGGAATCGAACCTGGGACCTCTGCGTGACAGATGGTAACCATTCGGCCACGGAGGCAGTTAAAATAAATGTATTAAATGGTTTCTATTCTATTCTAATCTATTTTAAATTAGCGTAAAAAGTTATTGACGAATTTCGTTCGTAGTTTTTTTTTACCTTTCTCCTGAAAGTTGCTATTTAGCAAATATGGCCTTATTACGCCAAGGATGGGAAATAATGCTACCATGAATATGGGTACAAAGCATAAAATTTAATAAAAAATAAAAATAATATATAATTTTACATTTCCTCGATTGTAACGCATGGGAAATGGAACTATTTTTTTCCATACCAAAATCGCGTGTATTTGATTTTTTAAACAGAATCAATGTTGCGCGCTCCTAAAGGGTGTCATAGTCCGACTGGAACCATGGGATGGCCATGGCCATAACCGTGGGATCTGTAAAGGGCCAGAAACATTGCTTTTGTTTAAAAAAAGAAAGAAATATACGCGATTTCCATCCAAATAAAATATTTATTTACACACATATCATAAACACTATGATGTGTTCAAAAACCGCAAACTACGACCAGCTTAAAGGTAAACTGTTTTGTTAGAACAAATTTCTTATCTGTGAAACAGTTATGATACAAGTGCGGAAGTTAGTCATTACTCACGAGTCTCAAGACTCGAGACAAGTGAACATGACGAATCCGCACGTGTATCAAACGACGTTTTTTAAGACATTTGCGAAAAAACTACATTAAAAGTAAAATAAAAAAGTATTTGTAAAAAATTCATTTTATTTCTTGGTCTGATAAAAATTCAGAGTACAATGGCAACTGTTGCCAGTATTCAGCTACATTAAAATTATTAATTTAGTGGCGACGCGGCGCGCAGCGGTCTCGCGTATTAGGTACTCACTCCGGTCATTGTTAATACTCAATCAGCCATCTTTATGGAAAATATTTTGTTTAAGACAAAAACATTGTTTGAAACAACAATAAATTAAAAAAAATGGAAAAGTAAGCACTAGCGCGAAAAATCCAACTTTCGGCACGATTTGTATTTGTAGTACGAAAAATACCACGTTTTGAGCAACTGTATTAAAATAGTACATTGTATAACAAGTGCATAAAACGCGTCATGTTACCCGAGACGAGAGTGGATACTTAAGTCGAGGATAAAATGAGTTCTATGAACGAGTTATACACTCTGCTTTTCACTTCGATTGATTACAAATAAACGATAACACAACTATTGCCAAGAAAAAATAAGAACTTTCCGCTAATGTACTACTTTTTTGTTCTACACGTGACTCAGGTCGGACTACTGCTTTGTTATACTTTACAAGCTTTTATTTTTTGTGCATTTCTATTTCTTATAACTTATTACAATTACTATTGTCTACTTTTTTAATTTTGTAATATAACACGGATTAAAAAACAAAAGTAAAACTTTATTTTATAAAGTTCGTGGGCGAGGCGTCATTGCCTCGGTCTTAAACGTCGATTTTATTTTATGCACTTAGAGCATAAAATCCTATTTTATGCAGCCTACACCCAGCATAAATACGAACTTTATGAGCATGGGAAGCATTGACTTACAAATAAATGAGAAGTGAAAATGTTATTATTGCTACATATTATCATCGAATTCGATTTTATTAGGACATTCAAATTTCGAACATCTCCGAAAAACAAAACAATTTCATTCGGCCTCAATTCTAATATCAGTGGAGATTAAATTTTATTCGAAATGAAATGTCAATAGCAAACAATTTTGACAAATTTCACACGTTACTTGATATCGCACGATTTATGATAGTTGGCGCCGACTCTAGTTGTCTATGAATTAAATAAAAACTACGGTTGCGTGAGATTTTATTTGCCGCTATTTCGCCAGTCGTAACATGCGTTTCCTGAACACATCATAGAGAGCCAAAGAGTACTAGAGAGCTTATAATATGTGTATAGATAAAGCAGTGTATGTAACTGTACATAATTAGGTATTAAAACACTCGTATTATGAAACTCGCCTGTTGGCTCGGTTAAAACCCACACGAGTGTTTTAATGCCTTTCATTATGTCACAGTATTCCCAATTATATGTGTGTATACATATATGTATACTAAATGTTATAGTCTAGTATAGTAGTCAGTACATATATTCCAAAGTACTGGCCAATCGAAATCAAAGTCAGACTTTTTTCAAATTAAGCTTTCAGATATGTGTGGCCAGTGATTTATGTAAACATTGTTCCATTGTTATAAAAAAAACCTTTTTTGCTTCCCCAAATATCGGTGTTTTAAGTTTTCACTACTATTTTAAAATATTTACGTCCTGTTTTATATTCAATTTCAAAACTGAAACTTAATTAAAACCAAAATGGAATTTTAAACAGGACGTAAATATTTTAAAACATTCATTTAAACATAAAACATGTTCCCCTGAAAAAAATTTCGAAATGTCGCTCACGTCCTTTCTACAAAACACCGGGGAAATGTCCATAAGTATATTTATATTTCTACTTACAATTACAGAACTTTTATAAATACACTACTGTAATAAAGTTATCTGGTTACACATCAAAATTATAGAACAAAATACTAAACAATATTCCGGGAAATTACTTCAAGTAGGTTCATATAGGTACTCTCTTCATTTCCTATCTTTGATGACCATCGTAAAGTTAGTTACTTTGCTTTTAGATGTTCTTAAAATAAACACTTACATTGTTTACACTTAAAAATAAGATACATTTGTAAGTTTGATGACTATTTTTTTTCCTACTTATATTATTACTTAAGTATCGTATACTTAAAAAGAAAATCTATGAAAAATCGAGACTAGTACTAATTTGCGTTTAATATAACAAGTAACTTAAATAAAATAATAATTAGATATATTTGCATTTTTAATTACATTCATAAAAAAACAATTAAACAAAATTTTGATATCGTTACAAAATTCCAAATTTCCCGAGTTACAGTTGAAATTACAATTACAATTGAAAAATTGCCATTCCCATCATGATGAAATTGTGTTTAATAAATTCTGGCGTTTATACCTTTAACGGGCAAGAAAAACTTCGTCGCACACCAAGAATAGGGCTGCACTTGTATCAGAAATCAGAGGACGCTTTGGACGCTCCATGTCACGAAACGTGCGCTAAATATTAGTGGTTAAAGTATGAAATTGCCGTTTCGTACTGAAAAATTAAAACACTTTTTTTTGTAAGATAAAGCATTTACTCGTTGTCTATACATTACTGCCATCTAATTGGAAGGTAATTTAAACCGTTGCGATAGAACTCTGGGGGCTTGGACTTCACAAGCTCCATTTTGTATTGTTTCCTGGGAAAACATTTCTTTTCCGTGCAAAAAATCGCGGAAAAAAATGGTAGTCGGTTGGGGCAAGGTCGGTTGAGTATGTAGGATGACGAATGGTTTCTAATTGCAGGTCTTATAGTGTTAAGTTTCTCGAGCAGTGTAAGGTCTTGCGTTATCATGAAGCAATAATGGTGAAGCTGTTTTACTGCGAGTTTCGCCGTCATTGTTCAAATGCCATATGTCATATTGTGGGTATGCTAACATTAAAGCATGCCGCCATAAGTCAAAGTCAAAGTCAAAGATCATTTATTCCATAGGTAAAATAAATTTACACTTGAAAACGTCACATTTAAGCTACTGCTCAAACTCAAACTCAAACTCAAAATAATCTTTATTTCATAGGTAAGCATTATTACACTTGAAATCGTCACAATGGTTAAACTCTACCGCTCATTCGTAAGGCAGATTCCCCTGAGAAGAATGAGCAAGAAACTCTAGGGGTTGCTCTTTGTAAATAGCATTTACAATATTTTTTTATTTTTATTTGAAACATCAGAGATCGAGACTACCTCCATGAGCTAAACGGGTTACTACCACGGATTTTTGTCATCCAAGTACGCAGAAGTTGTATAATAACCTTTAGTATAAAGTTTTTGTTTCACTATAGTTTTAAACCTCGTGAAAGGCAAATTTTGTATATCAACCGGAATCTTGTTATAGAAGCGTATACATTGCCCCTTAAATGATTTTTTGACTTTGTGAAGACGACTATCAAGAAAAGCTAGTTTATTTCTATTCCTCGTATTAATGTTATGTCTGTCACTATTTTTCATAAATAAATTACTATTCCTTTTAACATAAATTACATTTTCATAAATGTACTGTGAGGCTAGTGTAAGAATGTTAATTTCCTTAAACTTATCTCTCAAAGATACTTTGGGGCCCAGATTGTAAATTGCCCTAACTGCACGTTTCTGCAGGACAAAGATTCTATTGATATCGGCGGCATTACCCCAAAGCAAAATGCCGTATGTCATTAGACTGTGAAAGTAACTGAAGTAAACCAATCTAGCGGTTTCGACGTCTGAAAGTTTCCTTATTTTTTTAATCGCGTACACTGCAGTGCCGAGCCGTTTTGATAACTTACTTATATGGGGACCCCATTGCAATTTAGCATCTAACGTTATACCTAGAAATACAACTGTATCCACAAGATTCAATTTTTCATTACTAACTACAATGTTTGTAACCGTCTCTCTAACATTGGGTAATGTAAATTTCACACAATTTGTTCTTTTCTCATTAAGAAGTAGGTTATTAACAGCAAACCAATTAATTACTTTAGATATAGCATTGTTCACATCGTCATAGGAACATTGGTGCCTTTTAACTTTAAATAATAAGGAAGTATCATCAGCAAACAATACTATCTCATGTTTTATACTCTCCATAAGGCTAGGTAAGTCATTAATATAAACTAAAAATAAAAATGGGCCTAGAATTGAACCTTGAGGGACACCCATGCTAATTGCAGATCCTGACGATCTCGTACCGTTAACATCGACCCTCTGTACCCATAAGTCAATGCATGCCGCTAATTCCTTGTAGGTTTGATTCGGATTGGCT